TAAGCTTTCTGTTTGAACATTTACTTTAACATCACAGATAATCACCCACTGCCCTAGGAAGCATGGACATTGGAGAGATGTCACCTTCCTCCAATCACCCGCTCTCCTACCTCCATTTTCTTTCTGTCCCTCACGTTCCCTTCCATTCTTCCTTCCCTCTCTTGGTTTGGTTCCTTTCCTTTCCTTTTTTTCCTTCCATCTTTCCTTCATGCTCCAAATAGTTTCTCCTTCCAAGCTTTTATGGAATGAGACAAGTTGTGTATATAAAATCTTAAGAGCACATACAATGTCAAGTGTCTTGTTTTTGCAAAACACTCCAACAGAGCCACACCATTAATACTAGAAAGTGCAGCAGTCTGCAGACCCTGGTATCCAGTTTGCTCATTTGCAGGACAAGGCAAACAGTATTCTCTCCCGGTGATGTGCTTATGTGCTCCCTCCCAGACTATTTCCAGGTTTGTTTGGCTGTGATTCTAGATTTCACACTGCAAGGGCAGACACTCTTGTGTTATTAAGTGTACGTGCCTACACCTGTACAACCAGCACAGTTACCCACTGAAACGTGAAAATCAAGATCCTTAAATATATTAAATCTGAATTATGATATGCTTGAAATATAAAATGTGTAATGGATTTTGAAGACAGTATTAAAGCATGTAAAACACTTCTAGAAAATACCACTACTGATTTTTATATGGATTACATGATGAAACAATGCTTTGGATATATTAGCTGAATTGAAGACTATTATTGTAATTCATTTTACCTGGGTCTACTCACCTGTTGACTAGTAGACAGAGAAATGAAAGAAACTACAATCATCATTCTCCTTGATATAAATATATGCCCAGGATTTTGTGTGTGTGTGTGTGTGTGTGTGTGTGTGTGTGTGTGTAGTACACACTCAATCCTGTAACCCTGTTTCTAATGTAGAAGTAAGTGTAAATGTTGTTAGAATATTGCTGACTGTATTACTACAGAGAGCTATGAACCACAATGTCCAAGAGAAACTAAAAAGTGGTGCAGTTGTCATTTGGTATTTGTTTGACAGGATTTCTAGAAACTAGGCAAAAATGTATATGAGAATGTCCCCTTATGTGTGTTCAGTAAAAGCAGCAATTTTTAAGGATTCCTGTTTTAATGGAAGGACTGAAAGTGTGAGTCCACCAAGAGCAGTCGCTTCTGTAGGGGCTTTGCTTTGGTGCTTCCTGACCTGCTTCTTTTTCTGACCGGCCTGGCTGTGCACACATCAGCTCTGTTGGCCTGCTCAAAGAATCAACCGTTGTGTCACAGATTCTAGTTTTTATGGCATTAATTATTTCCTATCTTCTGCATTGTTTTGCTTGCTTTCCTAGTTTAAGGTGTAAGCTAAGAATCAGACTTGCTCTTTCATCTTTCTCTTTCATGTTTAGTACTATAAACTGTCCTCCACTGTCTCCGTTCTTGATTCTACAGTAGCCATAGGCTCCTGAGAACTGATGCTCACACCTGAGCATGACTGTAACTACTGCGAAGCATCCAACCACTGGGCAGGTGCATTCTGACCTTCCTCACTGTGTCCATCAGAGGCTGCAGCACACCCCTCTGCTTCAGTCTCCTCTCCGCCGTCTCTTTTTGCCTCTGGCCCAGCAAGTTCAGCCTCTGGCCTACAGTACACATAACTCAGTAGAATCCCTATCTCGTTAAATAAAAAGTTGAGACTCTCTAACAGATCAGTGGCCTTGTGTCAAAATCTTATGATGCCGTCCATCAGTCAAAAGGAACAGGGTCCTTTGCAGGCTGAGCAAGGCAGGACAGGAAGCGCCTGTGTGCTAGTGATTATTCTCAATTTGGGAGTAGGGCATTTACATTTTTATTTATTATTCTTTGACAAGTTCAGACATGTATATCATATACTTGGGTTGTTTCCATCACCATTACTATGGCACATCCCTTCCTCTTCCTGGTGAACTTCTTTATTTTCCCAGGAAGTCTCCCTCCTATTTCCCTCTCTTTGTTTTAGGAGTTCACAGGTGAGGTTTACATGAGCAAAAGAGGGGATTGTTTAGGAGTGTGGGCAACTTACCAGTGGTTATAGCACTGAAGAAAGTGGTTTCTCCTTTACCAGCAACCATTACATACAGACAGCTCCTCAGGGAGGGTGGGCCTGTGTGCTCCTTCCTTGGCTCACAGTTCTGACTCACTTTACCTATCCATTGAACTGATAATGTCCACCCCGTAAGATTTTTGTTAGTTAGCTAACATTTCAAGTCTTTGCAAATTCTTTATCGAATGTTTAAAAGAGTAGAACAGTCTAAGTGTAGTGGCGCATGCTTTTAATCCAAGCACTTGAGAGTCTGAGGCATGGAGATCTCCGAGTTCTAGGCCAGCCTGATCTACAGAGCAAGTTCTAGAACAGCCAGGGCTACACAGAGGAACCTTGAAAAGCCAGATATATATAAAGAACGTATGTGATAAGCGATCCTAAATAGATTCACACATCACTTATGTTCTCTCAATGCTGACAATGCACTGCCCCCAAATTAGTGATTTGTCCAAGGTCACGCAGCTTATTAGTACAGAGAAGATACCAGGGCACAGGACTATTTATCTGATCATTGACCTTCTTATCAGGGGAAGGTTCCACGAACAAAATTGTGAAATGGTTTTCAATGGGTGCAAAACTGAATTCAGTTGGATTCAACAAATATTTGAAGACCTAACAATAGGCGCCAGGCATTTTTTCTAGCCAGGAGTGGCTGCAGGGCATAGGTGCCATCACTTTAGAGTCTCAGGAACATCTTCTGAGTTCTAACAGAAAGGCAAAATGACTTTCATCCAACTCTTCTTACAGTCAATAATTCATTGTGATAATTTCAGTATGACACTTGCATTTGGGCATGCCTATCACTGGCTTCATGTCTCGGTTTCTACAATGACATGATTACCAGCACAGGCCATCACATATGCCTGTATTTCCTTCATTTTTAAAACCTGAAATAGCACAGTTTATTCATGTAAAAGTTGCTAAATCCTATTAAACACTGCAATATTAAAATATTATTTGAACCTAAATACATACATTGAAATCATATTATAAGAAATTATCAATGTAGTAATACTTCTTAAAATTTATTTAATGTTTAAAATAGAATTATACTGCATTAAATGTACCATTATATCGTTTCCTTCTAGAACCAAATTTTTTTTACATAAACTGATATTATTTTATGGTTATGTAACACATTTGTTACTAAACAGAAATTTTAGTTATTTTTTTTACTGTAGACACCTTTATAAATTCTCTCTGTACATTGAGAGTGATGGTACTTTACCCAATATTATTTTGGGATGCAAGTGTATTTGCTTTCAGTCTCATGAAACCTTTTCTATCAACATCTTGAATTGATTTATTTGCCAATTAGTTCATCAAGGAAACACTTCCATGTGCCTTGAAATAATTTCCACTTCATTGTAATCTCCAGCCAGTATGATGATACAGTCAGGATATTAATATTTTACTTAAGTATCTGCACCCATAGTTATACATTTAGGAAAGAATCTTAGTTACTTTTCAAGTGCCATGATAAAATACCATGATGGAGGCAACTTATAAAAGTGAATGTGGCCAGGCGTTGGTGGTGCACACCTTTAATCCCAGCACTCGGGAGGCAGAGCCAGGCAGATCTCTGTGAGTTCGAGGCCAGCCTGGGCTACCAAGTGAGCTCCAGGAAAGGCGCAAAGCTACACAGAGAAACCCTGTCTCGAGAAACCAAAAAAAAAAAAAAAAAGTGAATGTGTATTGGGGCTCACAGTTACAGTGGGTTGGAGTTCATGATCTTCATGGCAGGAAGCATGCCTGCAAGTGTGCATGGCACTGGTGTGTGTGGCACTGGTGTGCATGGCATTGGTGTGCGTGGCACTGGAGCAGTAGCTGAGAGCGTATATCTTGATTCACAGGTACTAGGCAGGGAGAGAGGTAACTGGGAATGGTGTGAGCTTTTGAAATCTCAAGGCCCACGCCCCAATGACACACCTCCTTCAGCAAAGCCATGCCTCCCAATCCTTCCCAAACAGTTCCACCAACTGGAAACCAAGCATTCAAACATACGAGCCTATGGATGGTCATTCTCATTCGGAGCACTTTTTGATGTGAAGACCATACTGACTCCACAAATTAGGTTTTTTCCCCACAATTTTTCCAATTTTCTACCCACTGAGCTAGTTCAAATACAGAAAATATTCATTCTTTGTAGGTTAGAAAGACATTAATAGTAAAACAAAAATGATTCAGGTTAGTATGTTTTAAATACAATTTTTCCTATCATCTTTTCACTTTTTCTGTATTTATTCATTTTATCTGTTTACTATTTTCTCGAGTCATTCTTTCCATTCATAATTTGTCAAATACAGGGTTTTGTTTTAAGATTTTTTTCCAATTTACTGCAGCTAAATTATACATAACATTATTATTTAAAAGTGTTCTTTCCAATCTTGTGTATTTGGCCATTCTTATTCCTAAACTTGTAACTTTTACTGACTCTCCATTCCCCCAGTAAGGTAAATGAATATTTTATAAGAACTCAAGTTCTTATTTTACTTGCTTTTCTGTTGATTCTATTTATTCAATAGTTTCAATTTTTATCTCCCTTAACTTCTGTTCCTAATTAGTTATGGCTCACTGTTCTCTTTTTTTAGTCTCTTAAATTATTTGAAATTTTTAAGTTAAAATATAATTATATCATTTCCCCCTCTCTCTTTCCTCCTCTAACCCAGTGGCTCCCAACCTTCCTAATGCTGTGACCCTTTAATACAATTCCTCATGTTGTGGTGACCCCCAATCATAAAATTATTTTTTTGCAACTTCATAACTATAATTTTCCTACTATTATGAATCATAATGTAAATATCTGTGTTTTCTGATGATCTTAGGTAACTCCTGTGAAATGGTTGTTGGACCCTCCAAGGGGTCGTGACCCACAGGGTGAGAACCTCTGCTTTAACTTCCATACCACCTTGCTTCTTCTCAAATTTATTTCCTCTTTCTCTTTCATTATTATTGTTACATATACACATATAAATGCACAAATATATAAATACAACCTCATTAGTCTGTTTAGGGTTTCTCACATGTATATGATTTCACAGCTGACTACTTTATATCAAGTAACTCAAATAACCAGTTAGGAGGCTCATCCTTGGAGAAAACAATTTTGTTTCTGCTTTGCAAATAAAGTTTTAATGTACATTAGGGAGGGAAGGAAAAAAATGACAGATGATTTTGTTGATGTTTTTCTTCTTTTTTCCCTCTTTGCTATCTTCTATGTCTTTTGGCATCTTGAGAAAATACAATCTTGTGACTTGGCACTGTCCACTGCTGGCTGCCTGGAGAGTTGCCTTGCTTCTCAGCCAACTCTGTCTAGTATGCTCTAAGAATAGGCCAGGCACACAGGGCCTTGGGCACCATCATGGTTGGGAGACTGGAATGCTTGTGCAATAATCCAGACATTTTAGAAGAACTGAAAAATATGTTGGAATCCCATTTGGCAAGCTGTCTGATGTAGAAAGAAAAAAAATGTTCACATTCTTCCTGCAAGGGTGGGAATAGAGACAGTGGAGAACACGTTATCATGCCTTCGAAAGCTGGGCTCCAAGGGAACACCTGAGCTTTGAAGAAAAGAAGGTTTCCACATGTCACAGTAGTGCACCCACAGCTCCTTGACGAATGAGTTCAGGTCACCCATTTTCTAATTAAAATGATGACTGTGTTCTATATTATAGGGAGGCATTCCTATGTCAGGAAAATACACCATATTCCAATAAGATCTTTGGAAGAGGAGAGTGATCCAACTCTTAAATTATTCCAAAGAACCTGAAAAGAAGGAATTATGCTCCCAAACTCATTCTACAAGGATAAAATCACACTGATACCAAAACAAGACATAGCAGTCAACAAAAGCTATAGACCAGATTACTAATGAACACAGATGCAAAATTCCCTAACAATATAATACATCAAATCAAATTTAATAGCATGTTAGAAAGATGACTCACCACCCTAGGAATCCAAGGCTCATTCAGCCTACACAAACAGATAAACATTCTATACAAGTCAACACAGCAAAGGACAAAAACTATATATATGGTCGTCTCAATAGCAGCAGAAAATGCATCTGATAACACACCCAGCTGGAGATGCAGCTCAGTGATGAACCACTTGTACAGCATGCATAAAAACAAGATAATATAAATAGAATACAATTCAATGTCATTTTATGATAAAAAAAATAACCTCTGGAAAAATGGCTATAAAAAGAATGAATGGGCCTCAACATATTAAAAGTATGTGTAACGATGGAAAATAAGTTAAGAGCTGCCTTCTCTGAAATATGGTCCAGGACCAGAATACCACTTTCAACACTTTTACTCATCATGGAACTAGAAGTCCTAGCCAGAGCTATTAGGTAAGAGAAGGAAAAAGGGGGCATTCAGATCGGAAGGGAGGAACTCAGACTGACAGTGTTTGCAGCTGGTAAAATGTTGTGTCAAACCCCAAAGATCCCACCAAAAACTCTCGGAACAAGTGAATCCAGCAAAGTTGCAGAGCACAGAGGCAACAAACAGAAATCAGCACTGCTGTCATATACTAGTATTGATTTATCTGAAAATCAATAAAGCAGTCTCATTCACAATAGCTGCATTTTATTAAATATTAACTATCTAGTAATAAATTTAACAAAAATGAAAGTTCTATACAATAAAAAATATAAAATGTTGGTGAAAGAAAGGAAAGAAGGCAGGCAAAATGGAAAGACACTTATTTATGTTCAAGTAATATTGTCAAAATGTCCATAATAAAAATAATCTATAGAGCCAATGAAATCCTTATCAAAATACCAAAGGCATTGTTTCCCAAAGGCAGAAATATATGAACTTAAAAGTTATATGGAAACACATGCACACACATCCATAGGCAGACACACATTCACAGGCACATACATACACAGGCACACACACACACACACACACACACACACACACGATATTATTGTGCAAATAGTAGGGAGTTTCCTCAAAAAGTTAAAAGCAGAACTATCATATGATCCCAGCTATGCTATTACTGGATCTATATCCAAACAAATGAAAAGGAGTATGTTGAAGAGACATTTATACTTCTTTATTACTTATTAATAGACATAAATAAACATTGTTGTCCATTAGCTGATGAATGGATAAAGAAAGTATGTTACATCAACCCACATAATACTGTTCAACCATTAAGACGATCCAAATTAAAAGAAGGAGGAGGAGGGGAGGAGGAGAAGTTGTCATTTGTGACATGGATGGAACTACAGGGCGTGATGTAAAGTGAAATAAGCCCAGTGCAGACACAGGTACCAATAACCTCATCTTTGACCTACATCACACCCATACAAAAGCTGACCAGTTTTCCTGTTCCCCCTTTTTAAAAGTACCTTATCTCCCTGCGTGTGGTACCACATACTGGTAATTCCAGCACTTGGGAAGCTAGGGCAGGAAGATCTCCATTTAAATAAAGTTCAGCCTGGGTCATATAGTGAGTTCCTGGCCAACCTCAACTACACAGTAAGACCCCTGTCCCTTAAAAACAAAAGGAAAAAAAGCATGAGGAGGCTGTACATTTCCTCTCCCCATGCTCTTTCTCCTTCTTCAATCTAGGTAAATTTTCTTAGATTTCACTACAAGTTGGGAGGAGAAAATCATCAGGCCTTTGCCTCTTCTACAGTTGATAGAGACTACCAGTTGTGTGTAAACTCCATGTGTATTTACTCCATGTTCTACTGATTGGCTGATCCATACCTCTAACATTATACCGGACCTTTTCACTTAATTTGAGCCAAGGCACACTGCTGGAGTTAGACCCTGACCTTTCCTTTAGATGTGGAAAGTGTTCTGGTGGAAAATTCTACTGTGTGTGAAATGAATCTGCAGACTTGTGTATGCCCTGTGGTGTAATAAGAAACACCTTAGCGCTGTGTATAGTGAGTGCTTAGTACTTAGCGCTGTGTATAGTGAGTGCTTAGAGAGAAGCCTCTGCAGAGGCTTCAGGGCTCTGGCTCCACCTACCTACTGCCATAATTCCCTCCAAATTTTCGTAGTTAATGAGCTAATTTCATTTATTGGCCTTGTTATTCCTCAATTAATCAAGTTTCTTCCTGATTCCAAGGCTGCACAGGCTGTCTTCTGCACAGGCTCCTCCCCTAAGCCTGCATGCCTTGCTATCTCACATGCTGTTTAAGCTTCACCAAAATTCTTAGAATGACTAGAAAATTTTCCTGCTTTTTAAAGCCTGTGTATTCCTTCTCTTTGAAGCTAGTTCATCTTTCTCCATACCTTTCATCCCCCTGCAATCTAACCAAGTTTCCTAGACATTCACAAAATTCTGGTAAGAATTCCTAAGAGCTCTGCATCTGTCTTATAAATGAACTAACTTGGGTCGATTTCTATGCCAATAACTAAAAGAACATATAGAGACTCGAGTCTTTTGGAAGCTTCCTGGCTTTGTATTTCCATTTTTAAAGCAATGCCACTTTGTTTTGTTTATAAATATATTGAATATATGTCCATATTACAATTTTATTGACCTTTGTGAATTTCTTGCTTTTTCTCCCAGTGAAATGTACTTTTTAGGTCATCTCAAATGCAAGCCTACATGTGAAATCTCAAAGTACTATACTTCTAGATGTGCAAGGGAAAAAGTGTTGTGATCATGTTTTAATGATTAGACTTAACACCAAAATAACTTATTTCTTATAAAGGATATAAGTGGGAAGTGGTCTCCACCAGAGTTGAAAACCTCTGCTTGCTGAAAAAGCAGACAAGCCATGAACCAGGGAAAGACCTTCCTGCTTCTGCCTCCTGAGTGCTGTGACTACATGTGGATGCCACAGTACTCAGCTGGATTGTCAGGGTTTGTATTAACACTGTGTTCAACTGTGGAAGAAACTGTCTACAGGAATCATTTTCATTTCCATCAAGAATACCCTTTCCTGTAGGTTCCTTTCTGGTTATTCTTATAGCATAAAAATTTTCTTCTAATTCTTAAGAGACACAGTATTTTTACTATTATACTTAGAAAATATTTTTCAAGAAAACAAAATTTATGAATGAGAATTACTAAAATCAATAAATTAAAAAGGCGCAATGTCTTTTGACTCTTGTGATAGAAATACTTAAGTATAGATAAAAGTTTCTCTATCTGATTGAACTAAACTCTTGACCACATGCCTTTCAGTTTAAAACCCAGTTGCTGATGTAAACCACAGCCATTCTGTCTAGTTGTTCTTAGCTTCTTCACTTGACTTCAAGTAAAATCGCAACTAGCTTAAGTATTAGTGCCAGTGGCATAATAACACATTTGATTTTCCAAACAAACTTTCCCATGTTCTGGCTGTCCAGCTTCCCTCCCTCTTCTATGGCTCCCTGTAGACATTGCTCCTGCAAAAGCCATCCCATGGATATTTTTCTAGGCGGCCTGAGCAACATAAGCTCAAGCATAGTAGCAGTTACACCTACGATAGTAACATTAAGCTAGCACTAAGTACAGCTTTGGTAGTACAGAATTTAATCTTAGTCTAGCAACATCAAGCTTCTGCTATAAAATTATTTGGAACTCAAGTACATAGTCATGAGCTGTTTTGTTTTGTTTTTCTAGGTCAAGCTAACAGCTACTGCATAGAAATATTTTTTTTAAAAACCAATCAGAACGTACAGGCAAACACAGGTAAGCTGAATTGCTTCACACACACACACACACACACACACACACACACACACACAAATTAATGCTCCCAAGGCAGTATTGCATTTGGTTGTAAATATATTTTGATTAATGATTTGATAAAACTTAATTACTGTAAACCATCAGAACTAGGCCAAAACCTCCTTAGTTATAAAGAATGAGGATTATCTATAAAGAAAAACACCACTTGAATTGGAAGTAGCTACCATCATGTATCATTTAGATAGACTCTCTCTTTGTTAATTCACTCAGGACGACACATTTACATGTTCTAAAGGCATCAAAATGCCTACCTGGTATTTGCAACTCCTCTGGTAGTAAACATTGCACAGCCATTTTTACTGACAGCCATGTGGTGTGAGCCAACTTGCAGAGATGATCGAGTCTGCTTCAGTCTCGCAGACCTCAACATGGGAAGCACAGCCTTTACCTTTGATAGCTAAGTAGGCAGTGTAGAGCGGGAATCTAAAAGACGATAATTTCGATTGATCTTTGCATAGCTGTCAGACATGCTGAGTAGATCAGACATAGGCAGCTTACCTATCTTACACCGATAACATTCACAAGTGACGCTAACAACTAGATTGTGAGGTAGAATCACCAACAATGAAATCGTCAAATTGCCCTGGCAGGAGAGCAGAGTGGAAACAAGGACAGGACATGAGCCACTGTCCGGACCCTGAGAGTGAGGGTTCCCAATGCCTCTGATAAGAACTCAGTAGTCTACTTCACAGATCCTAGAGTTCCTCTGGTAAACAACATTCGGTGTCTTGAGTTCTGTTGCCTTCTGACAAAATTCGTAAGCCTGTGGTATTTCCTGTCCTTTGATTTCACCTTGTTAACCCCTTGTCTGCCCCCTCTTATCCTACACAATGCCCAGCACTATCTCTTTACTGAGATTGCCTTTGGACTGCTAGTTCTTCTACTTAAAAGCAGCCTGATTCAGTCTGTCACCTTACAAGGGGCTCCCACTTTACCTTACCCCACCAGAATTAATTAGAAGCCACCCAGCAACCAAAAGTGCCTCCATGTGTTTTTAAAGCATTAGCTATGGACACTCTAGCCTTGTTGAAAATAACTGAAAAAGAAGATGTATATTTAATATGAAATAAACCAGGCAATCCACAGCCCAGATTCTTTGTTTTATAAAAACCCATTGGGATAGTTTCTGATTTGCTGTTTAGCACACTTATGTAGACCTCAGTATGTGCCTGAGACTAACAATGAGCACATACAGATATTAACTTTTTGAACTTCAAAATACCCCTTTAACTATGAGAGAGACCTGTGGGGAGCAGAGTGGACAGACAGGCTGCTAGGGGGGTGGGGGTGACCGTGATCAGTGTACATGTACAGAAAATAAATAAGGATGAATTTAATCAATAAAATAAAGGAATAATGATTATTAATATGTTCCAAAGTAGGAAATTATTTGACATTTACATAGTGAGATGTAATGTGTATTCTAACAACTTCAGTCTCAGGTTGACGGTAAACATAGAAACACACGTAACTGACCAGCCCAGAGAGCTAGGAGCTGCTCTCATTCAATGGGCACAAAGAGGCTGACAAACTGGATTACCTACCAATCTTTTCTAAAAAGGACCATGTATGTCCCATCCTGCAGCTATTACTAAATAAACGGTTAGACTATAAAACTAAATTCCCAATCATCATTGTTTCCAGTGTGATATAGCTTAGCAGGAATGTGCAATCAGAAACAAAAATAAAATTTTTTTAAAAAATTCAATGAGGGACACTTTGCGAAGCCTTGGTGCAGGGAGGAGGGGCTTGGACCTGCCTCAACTGAATGTACCAGGCTCTGCTGACTCCCCAGGGGAGGGAGACCTTGTCTTGGAGGAGGTAGAATGGGGGGAGGGGTTGAGGGGGAAGGCTTGGGGGCAGGAGGAGGGAGGTGAGGGGAATCTGTGGTTGGTATGTAAAATGAATAGAAAATCTCTTAATAATAAGAAAAAAATTAAAGAAAAAATTCAATGAGAAGGAAAACATTTTAAAGTACATTTGGTTCTATAACCACTTGCGATTAACTCAAAGCATCAGTAACAGGCATGCGTAGCTTAACTCACGGTGTAAAACCTTTAGCCATTTGAGCTGTCTGCATTACCAGTTCACCTGTGCGTTTCAAACGTATGTCAAAAGTTTTAGTCAACTCACTAAAGAATCAGAGATGTTAAAGCTGTTAAGCACCCAAGAAGTGCATAAAGAAGAAATGCCAAGATCACAGAGTCGGGCACACTACTGATTAATGACTTACAGAGCAAGAGATCGCAACCTTGAAGGTTTCTAGTTACCAAACTACCCGTGTCTTAACAAAACGACAGCCCACCACAGGTCAGTCTCTGCGGCCCTCTTACCTGCAGCTAGGCCCCTTCCGGTGCTGCTCTGTACACACCCCAGTCAGCGGGAAAACACTCATTAAAATCTTGCCTGTGTCCAGACTTGACTGAGATATTGCATGGAGCAAATGACACAAAATTCATCTTACATTCCTGTGATGCTGCTGTATTTCATCTGGCAGCCCTGACCACAGAGTGTCAAAAACCTTGCCAAGTCTCTACAGCCCGGCACTGTGTGTCTGAAACCCGCGCTTCAGCTTCCTACCTTGTCTGGTATTTCTACCTCGACAGTCTATTTGGATGTGAGAGTGACATGAAGATGATGGTTGTATTATTGTTGTTGTTACTGTTATTACTATTACTACTACTATTGTTATTATTGACATCGGACCCGCTGGGCAACGACACAGAAGATGCACACACTCCCGCAGCTGCCGCTTCAGCTTCAAACCATCCTGAGCATGCGCACTCCTCTGCCCACGCCCCTCCCCGCGCGCGCCCTCGACTGCGCAGGCGTGAGTGTGCGGACTCCATTGGTCGGGGTGCCGGAAGGGGCGGGGCTAGGGGAGGGGGAGCCTTCGCGGTCCTCGTCCGGCCTTTCCGGCTGCCGTTCCCATCTCGGCGCTGGTCCCCGTCGTGCGGCGCAGCGTGGAGATGCCCGGCCGTGGGGTGCGCGCCGACGACCGCGCTGCACCCGTGCCGGCCCCCGACCGTGCTGCACCCGTGCCGGCCCCCGGCCGCGCTGCACCCGCGCCCGTCCACACTTCGACGGCTGCAAACACCGAGGCCCTCAGCAGCAAGGTGCGGTGGGACGCGGGGGAGCGCCTTCCCTGGGGCTGGGGCCCGCGACTCTGCCGTTTCTCCCCCGAAAGTTTAGAAACGAGCCCCCGTGCTTCCAGCCGCCCTCACCACCGGTGCCGACGCAGGGTGTCAACTTTTGAGTGACCCCAAAGCATTCATCCGGTCGTCTCTAAGGAGGACCCTAGCAAATGAACCTTTGCCTGCTTCTCTCCCTTCCTTCCTTCCTTCGGGGTAGGTTTAGGGTTTCCATGTCGCTCAGGCCAGGCTCCAACACACCGTAGTTTGAGGGGAGGATGACCTTATTCTCTTGCCTAAGAGTCGACATTTCAGGGATGCACCACCATGCTGAACTGTACCATTAATCTTAACTTGCAGTTACAGACAAAAATCTTTAAACGTGTAGTGGAGGGGTGTGGGTATAGTCTTTTTTTTTTTTTTGGTTTTTCGAGACAGGGTTTCTCTGTGTAGCTTTGCGCCTTTCCTGGAACTCACTTGGTAGCCCAGGCTGGCCTCGAACTCACAGAGATCCTCCTGCCTCTGCCTCCCAAGTGCTGGGATTAAAGGCGTGCGCCACCACCGCCCGGCTAAGTCTTTTAAGGTATTAGACGTCCTAAATTCTACATTTTTTTTCTGTCCCAAATGACATCTTCAGTTAGTGGCCTTCTTCCCACTGTATCACAGTTTTCTTTGATAACTGAAACGAGATGTATACCTGTCATTCCTAAAACACGGTACAAGCAGACTTGAGTCTCAAGGAAGATGAACTCTTGTGGCTTTGCAGGTCATTACTACAACTCTCACCTCTGCCAGTGTGGAGACCTAGGGGTGCACACTCAATAGGGTGGGTGTGCGTTTTCAAAATAATCTGCTTAATACTGCGTGTGGTGGTGTGTGATTACTTAAAAGGAGTTATTGCCTAGTTAGGCATTCACCTGATGATCACAAACAAGCCTAGCTTAATGATCCAGCAGTATGCAGTCTTTACCATGCAAAGTAGAATAATGTAAAGGTAGAAGGTGATGTTTTATCTCCCCAGGTGGGTCAGTCAGTACCATGTGTCTTATCTGAGTGTCTGGCTGTCATCTAGTGCATACATCATGAGAAACACTGGTTGTTGGGGAAGGATAGAAACCCACATTCGTTTTCCTTCTTTTTTTTTTTTTTTAGTCTGCAGCAAGACTTTATAAACTAATTAAAGGACTGCTGTTAATTTTGGTAGACAGTGTCTCACTTTGGTTAAGGTATAAGCCATGGTAAGGTGGTAACTGGCACCTGGTAAGTCTTAAGTCGGCTTTTCCTTCCCCAGCCAGCTGTTTTCCCACAGACCCCAGCTGGGTGCCATTGCATCTGTACAGTGTCCAACGTGACAAGTGCTGTGTGACAGCCCCCAGTCCCGTTACTTAGAATGTCCTCACTAAACATACTTGGAAAACTTCTACTTTAGGTTTTTCTTTGTTTTAATAGATTAAAGAACAAAAAATTCTTGTGGATGAACTTTCTAACCTGAAGAAGAATCGGGTAAGTTACTTTAGGAATCTGGAATAGTATACAGTATATTAAAATTAGGAATTAGATTATTTATGCTAAAATTACAAAATTCTGTCATACGAATTGTAAAGCTAAGTGTCCTAGTTTGTTTTTCTGCACATGTCAATACATCTCAGTGCTGGAAAACTTCTTTCCCTATTGCATTTTAACAAAGAATGAATTACTTCCTTTTCCACAGAAAATTTTAGTATTCCAAATACTTAACCTATTTAATGACTTTTTTATGGTGTTTTCATAAGTCAGCTGCTGTTTCATGTGTAGTTTTACTGTGAAAAATTACATCTCAAGTGAAGAAATGATTTTGAGGTCTTTCAAACATTTTAAAGATTATATAATGACTGACATTTTCAACATTTCTGATATTGTCAATTGTGAAATATTGGAAGCTAAGATAAATTAATACAAGACTTTTGGAGATCAAGTTGGCAAAATGTATAAATGTTATATGAGACTTGACCTGGGGCTTCCTAGCATAACTGATGCATAAACAACCATAAAAACATATAGGTGTTTACACAGTGGCTATCAGCATCTGTAATAGTGAAGGATTGGCATTACATCAAATGTCTGAAGTTTGAGGGCAGCAAAGAACTATAGTGTTGTACCGATGTGATAATGTAAAGAACCTTCATTGATCAGAAAACGTTTCTGTATTACTCATTTATAAGAGTAAATATAACCCTGTGGCTATGGTAGCCTTTGTGGTGTGATACACATGCTGTGCAAACAGCCATTTCTGGGTGGCATAGTATTGAGTGACTTTGTATCTGTTTATATTTGATAAACTATTGTTCTGAATATTCCTGAAGCTCAAGAATAAGTGATAATAGGATTCTGTTGAGCATCACTATGCAAATCATGTCCTGATATTATAAATTTCTTTTGTAGAAAGTATACAAGCAGCAACCAAACAGCAACATATTCTTTATTGCAGATCGAACAAAAATGTTTTCTGAAAGCAAAAGTGAGTGGTTTTCTTTTTGGTTTTGTTTTCAGTATTGTGTATGGAATGCTGTAGAAAACCTTTTATAGGCTTTTTGTGGGGATTCATACTGGTGCCTTGATTAAACCCTATCTGAATGAATGTGTGCGTACGTATTACAGTAATGTGTTTCCAGTTAGCCTTCCAAAGATCTCTATAGTTTTAAAAAGATTCCTCAGCTATGGCTGGTGACTGGCTTGATCTTAGGCAGGCAGCTGCAGCTGCTACAAGTTTATATTCGTAACAACCCCATCATGTCTGGAAGACACTGTCTTGCAGCAGTCCTCCCCATCTCTTGTTCTTAGGTGTTTCTGCCCCCCTTTTTACTATGGCCCAAGCCTTAGGAGTAAGAGGTGTGATATAGATATCTAGTTTTGGACTGAGCACTCCAGAGTCACGTAATGTCTGCACATGCACCAGTTGTGGGTCTCGGTCTTAACTGTCATCCACTGCTGAAAGAAACTTCTGAGGACGGGTGAGAGCTGAAGTACCAAGGAGCTGTGGTTGGCAGTTGATGACTGTGAGGGAGGAGAGTCAGTTTCCTTAGGGATGGGACTCCTGATGGATTGGAGATAGGGAGGGTGGAATAGGAGGTGGGTGTGATCAAAATATATCACAGATGTATGAAATAAAAAATATAACTGCAAGATGTATTTGCTGTAGTTACTAAGGAAGGTAGGCATCTATTTTTAAGAGCTTGACCAAAGTATGAAAAATCATTATATAGTTTTTTTTTCATTTTTGGGAGGAATACTTTGAGCCTGTAAGGTCTTGTTGGACTTAAAAGTTGTAATGTTAGCCAAATGCTTGGACCAAAATAAGCACTCAGTGAAAAGAAACTATTACCAAATATCAGCATTGCTGGTCACTAAAACATTTGAATTATTACTGGCCATTGTACAGTACATCTACTCATATAATCTTGAGAAGTAGCCTGTTTTGTCCGTGAGTTAATAGGTGAACATCTCTGAACTTTTACTTCAATGTTTTTCCTCCCTCCCTCCTACAGATACATTAGATGAACTAATAAGAGAATACCAAGCATTAGAAAACTCAGAAACAACCGAAGTCAAGACCCAGTCGCCCTGACTTCACAGAACCATGTGTGGCATTTGCTGTTCTGTAGGCTTCTCTGTTGAGCACTTCAGTAAAGAGTTAAAAGAGGATTTGCTGTACAATCTTAGACGACGGGGCCCCAATAGTAGCAAGCAGTTGCTAAAATCTACTGTTAACTATCAGTGTTTATTTTCTGGTCATGTTCTTCATTTGAGAGGTATTTTGACTGCCCAGCCTGTGGAAGATGAAAGCGGCAATGTGTTCTTATGGAATGGAGAAGTTTTTAACGGAGTACAGGTTGAAGCAGAAGACAATGACACTCAAGTTATGTTCAGTAGCCTTTCTGCCTGTAAGAATGAATCTGATATTTTGTCACTCTTCTCTAAAGTCCAAGGTCCTTGGTCTTTTATATATTATCAAGCCTCTAGCCATTGCTTATGGTTTGGTAGGGACTTTTTTGGCCGTCGTAGCTTGCTTTGGCATTTTAGTAATCTGGGCAAGACTTTCTGCCTCTCTTCAGTTGGTGCCCAGATATCTGGACTTACAGACCAGTGGCAAGAAGTTCCAGCATCTGGAATTTTCCAGATTGATCTCAATTCTGCTGCTGTTTCAAGATGTGTGACTTTAAAATTATATCCTTGGAAATACGTTTCTAAGGAGAATGTTATTGAAGAATGTGTTAATGACCCGGCTCAGACTCTAACAGAATTGCCGTCGTTTGTGTCAGTGGTAGCAAATGAAGACAAACTGTATCTTTCAAAACCTGTTGCTCCCTTGAATAAGATGCTGCCTCAAGCTTCATTGCAAACTCATTGTAGAAACAGTTCCAGTGTTCCACATACAAGAGAGACACTTGAGATATTTCTTAGAGATGAACACACAAAAAAAGTAGTCCATCAATTTATTGATGTCCTGAATGTTGCAGTCAAGAGACGCGTCTTATGTTTAGCTAGGGAGGAAAACCTGGCATCAGAGGAAGTTTTGAAAACTTGTAATAACAAAGCAAACATTGCAATCCTCTTTTCTGGAGGCATTGATTCCATGGTGATCGCAGCCCTTGCTGATCGTCATATTCCTTTAGATGAGCCAATTGATCTTCTGAATGTGGCTTTTGTGACTAAACAAAAGACTGGGTCAAGTGTTCCTACTGTAGGAAGAAAACAGCAAAACCACCATGAGATCTTTTCTAAAGAGTCCTCTCAGGATGCTGCAGTGGCTGAGGGTCCTGATGATGCCGAGGTGCCAGACCGAGTCACAGGAAAAGCAGGACTAAAGGAACTACAGTCTGTCAACCCTTGTCGAACTTGGAATTTTGTTGAAATTAATGTTCCTCTTGAAGAACTACAAAAACTAAGAAGAGCTCGAATATGTCACTTAGTTCATCCCTTGGACACAGTTCTGGATGATAGCATTGGCTGTGCTGTCTGGTTTGCTTCTAGAGGGATCGGTTGGTTAGTGACTCAGGATGCTGTGAGAGCTTACAAGAGCTGTGCAAAGGT